GAAACATTGATGACTATAGAGTGAATCAGACGTCCTTTATGGTTCGAGATGACCGCATCCCTTTTATGAACCATGTGACCTGGGAAAGGATTTTATCCCGTGGCCAGGATGAGGAAGCGGCTCTTCACCAACCCCTCTGTCTGGAGGCCCCCAGCGACTAGATGATCATTTATTCATATCCTTCTGGTCGTAGGACAAGGTGCCTTAAGCCAACGACATGAGTTCCTTCTTCCATGCTAGGCCGGAGGCCGAGCCCTCGGGGGGCCCTCCATATGCCTATAATGTGCCACCCCTACCGTGAGGGGACCATCACCACCCGTTTGGCCATGGGAGCCTTGTTCACTCTCGTTCTTTGCCTATCCACTTTCCCGGGCGGACGTTTCCACGGAGGTGCCACGATGATGCGGGAGCTGGAATTCCTCCGACTATAGAATGAAGATGGGCGGTGCACTTGCCCGCGGTTGCCCCCTCTCCACTCCGATCATCAGTAAGAAATTTATAGCAGCCAAGAGAAATTATCGAGACGATGAGTTAATGCGTCGTAGAATTTTTACATTTTGACATAATTATGACATATCTAGCTTTAAATAGAAAGAAATGCTTTTTTTTTAGCAGCCCTCAAAAGGGGAAAAGACGCTATTAGTTTTTTCGAAATGTCTGTCCATCCGTCTATCTGTCCGTCCCCGTCAGATCTCGTAAACTATAAAAAGATAGTGAAAATCCGACATCATAATATTTTAGATATTCAAAGTTCTGATGCAACGGCTACTTTTGTCTTTTCTGAAAGCGTAAAATCTAATTTTTAAATCACTTATGCAAGCAGTTTTTTTTTTATAAAAATACACCACTTTTACAATTTAATATTACTATAATAGAAACAAACACGAGAGGCTCTCTAGTAGAACAAATAACAATGTACTATATTTTAAACACATTTATGCAAACGGTTTTGATTTTTTCGTCAAAAAAATAAATAAATTTATATTTGTGTTGCTAAGTTAAGTAGGTTCTGTTATACTAACTGCTACATTTACAAAAAATGTTTACTTTTTTTTAAAGAGAAAAATATATTTAGTATGAATATATGTTAGACATAATTTAAAATATTAATTAATAAGTAATTTTTCATATTATCGCGTGAACTGTAGCGCTGCATTACAGCCATAGAACACTTAACTAAAGGAATTATTTTTTTTTTACGGATTTTTTTTTTTTTTGAGGAATAAGAGATTGCCTTTTTACAAAACAATTAGATCAATTAATTAATCATTATAAGACATCAGTCAGGCCAGGTTCACATCTAATTTCACATTCACTTTCACCTATCCTTTGGTCTGCTTGACCTCTGGGGCACCACACAGGATCTGTCAACTTTGTTCCTCCATTCTTCTCTGTCATTTGTCCTTGATAGAATTTCATTCAAAACATGTAAAGAGCTCAATAAATCAATGGACGTACACGAAAAGAGATTTAAGTTACAATTTTTTAGATGAAATATTACAAGAATGAAAGTGTACAAAGCTGATTGGAAAAAACTCCTTGAACTAACGAAGTATTAGATGATTAGTAGAAGGAAATAAAATAGGAGATTATAGACTGTTATTACATTCATAGGTGAGAGATATTTTTTTTCAAGAATTTTTTTGTGTTATTTGTTAAAGTAAAATTGAGAATTTTAAAAGAACATTATCGTATGAATTGTACAATTAAGATAACTTTTTAAAACAGAATTGCTCAATCTAATAATCTTTTTGTTTTAAGGGAAATAACCCATTTTAAAACTGTTTACTTCATCTTTGTGTTGCACTTGTTCAAAGGTACGATATTTAACTGGTAAGCCCATTTTCGCAATCTACTTTTATTTTCGGGGCGAAAGAATAAAAATTGAAAGGAACAAGCCATGTTTGACATAGATCTAACTAAACCCAATCCATTGTAATACCTTAAGCAAGGCCCGCAGGCCGCGGGTAATATCCGGCTAGTATACTTATAAAAAAAGTATAATGATTAATGTAAAAAGACACACTTAAAACAACAATACTGTCAATGGATAAATTGCTTTATTAGTTTTACATATCAAAGACGAAGTGTTGTCCTTTTTGCTTTTATGTGAAAAAAAAAAACGCCAAATGATTTTGTACAATTGTATTAATTTAAACGATCAAAACAAGACTATGGCTTAAATATTCCTGGTCCTTTGGTCCATTGGGGCCGCCTCTGAGTTTGTGTGAAAATGAGGACTCTCTTTTTAATCTTGTTTTATTTTGCAATTATTTTTTAATTTTTTTGTTATATTTTTGGTTTTATTCGTTTGACTGAAGAAAAGGTAAAGCTCTTTGAAATGGCGCATGTGTTTTGTGAAAACAATCCGTTACGCTGAAGTCTTAAGTCAGTGTCAATTCATTCAATTTTTGTATAGTGTCAATGGTAAACATGAAGTTCATCTCATACTCTACATTAGAAATATTAGTAACAAAGTCACAGTCAATATCCTTCATTTAGCAATTCTTCCTTGACATCCCAAAATTTTCCGAAAGCTACAGACGAGGTAAGAGACTATTTTACATCAATAACTCTGTACTTTTGATTAATAATAATAATACGATTATGTCCCTTTGACCTTGTTACACCATTTATTTGTTGAAGTTACAAACACTTCTAAAAACTAGACGAGGTACAATTAAATTGTATGTATGTATGTATGTATGTATGTATGTATGTATGTATGTATGTATGTATGTATGTATGTATGTATGTATGTATGTATGTATGTATGTATCTATATATATATACATCTCTCTCTGTGTGTGTATATATATATATATATATATATATATATATATATGGCCTCATTCAGCTTTAGGTGTGATCGGAACGATGCCACCAGAATAATTAAATATAAATGAATGAATAAGATCAGGTTTAACTAGGGATAGGGTTAAGGTTTAGTAAAAATATCCCCAATTCCACTCAGTTCTGGATCCGCTAATAATTTAGAAATTGAGGCTATGCAATTCAGTTAGGTCTTATAGAGTTTATTTCTACATATATAGAAACAACGTAAGTTTTAAAAATTCCATGTTTCCAAACGTCTTTAAATATTTGACAATTCTTCTCAATGGAAAAGGGAAACATAAAATATATTTACGATTTTAAAAACAAAATAGCACTGCATAAAAGTTTAATAAAATACATTTGTAGTTTTAAGTTATATTATATCCATTTGAAAGTATCCAAATGTATTTTTTAGAAATCGCGTGCTGAAGGTTTAAAGCATCCCTCAAAATTGAACCCCATAGCTGGAGTCCTATCATCAGGGCAGCATCCATATTTCGTATCAATACATTTGATTTTATTAAAACATCCTTGATAATTATTTCCCAGTGCCACAGATTTCTTATCAGGACAACACCCATATTTTGTTTCGCGACAATCGACAACAACTTTGCAACCTTTATTAAATTGACCCATTGCCGGCGTTTTTCCATCTGGGCAACAACCAAACAACGAATTTCTACAGCTGCCAACAGGACATCCTTGGTTTTTAATATTCAAAGATGGTGTTTTTCCATCTGGGCAACATCCGAATTTTGAAAATTGACATCTGCTAAAATCGCACCCTTTGTTGTTTAAACCAGATGCAGGTGTTTTCCTATCGGGACAACATCCGAACTTTGTTGCAGTACAAACACTCGAATCACAACCTTCAGAATTTTTTCCATTCGCATATGTTTTACCATCAGGGCAACATCCAAACTCTGAATTTTTACATTCACTTTCAGTACAACCCTCATTTTTGGGACCTGTAGCAAACTTCTTACCATCTGGACAGCATCCAAACTTTGAAATCTGACACCCACCATCAAAGCAACCCTTATTAATTAAGCCTTTTGCAGGAGTCTGACCATTTGGACAACACCCAAACTTGGAATTTTTACAATTACTGTCAGTACAGCCTTCATTTTGTGGACCTGTAGCAAACGTCTTACCATCTGGACAGCATCCAAAAGTTGTCTCTTTACATTCCGCTGGCTGTATATTTTCACATTCTCCATTATCAAATCCTCCTGATGGAGTTTTGCCATCTGGGCAGCATCCGAACAAACTGGATGAGCAATCATTGTCTATCGATGTACAGCCTTTATGGTTTATACCTGTTGCAGGAGTCATTCCATCTGGACAACATCCATATTGTGAGTTCTGACAGTCCTCAATATCACAGCCTTCATAATTGTCACCAGTTGCAGGAGTCTTACCATCAGGGCAACAGCCAAACTTTGAGCTTACACATCCACCCTCAGCACATCCTTCTTTGTTTGGTCCAGTAGCAGGTGTTTTACTATCTGGACAGCAGCCAAACTTTGAACTTTTGCACCCAACCTCAGTACACCCTTCTTTATTTGGTCCAGTAGCAGGTGTTTTACTATCTGGACAGCAGCCAAACTTTGAATGGAGACAATCGGCATTTTTACAGCCTTTAATTATTATACCTTTTGCAGGCGTCTTACCATCTGGACAGCAGCCAAACCTTGAACTTTTGCATCCAGTCTCAGTACACCCTTCTTTATTTGGTCCAGTAGCAAGTGTTTTATCATCTGGACAGCAGCCAAATTTTGAACTTTTGCATCCAGCTTCAATACATCCTTCTTTATTTGGTCCAGTAGCAGGTGTTTTACCATCTGAACAGCAGCCAAACATTGAGCTCTGACATCCTCCATCAAAGCAACCCTTATTAATTAAACCTTTTGCAGGAGTCTGACCATCTGGACAACATCCAAAAGTTGTCTCTTTACATTCCGCTGGCTGTATGTTTTCACATCCTCTATTATCAAATCCTCCTGATGGAGTTTTGCCATCTGAGCAGCATCCGAACAAACTGGATGAGCAATCAGTGTCTATCGGTTTACAGCCTTTATGGTTTATACCTGTTGCAGTAGTCATTCCATCTGGACAACATCCACATTGTGAGTTCTGACAGTCCTCAATATCACAGCCTTCATAATTGTCACCAGTTGCAGGAGTCTTTCCATCTGGACAACATCCAAATGTTGATTTCTGACATGTTACATTTTCACATCCTCTAAGATCAATGCCCTGAGAAGGAGTTTTACCATCTAGGCAGCAGCCAAACGTGGTTTCTAAGCAATCGAAAGGCGATGGGGAGTTTATAATGCATTCTTGTTTATTTGGATTGGTGGCAGGAGTCTTGCCATCTGGACAGCAGCCAAACCTTGAACTTCTGCATCCACCCTCAGCACACCCTTCTTTATTTGGTCCAGTAGCAGGTGTTTTACCATCTGGACAGCAGCCAAACCTTGAACTTTCGCATCCACCCTCAGCACACCCTTCTTTATTTGGTCCAGTAGCAGGTGTTTTACTATCTGGACAGCAGCCAAACTTTGAAAGAAGACAACCGTCATTTTTACAGCCTTTAATTATTATACCTATTGCAGGCGTCTTACCATCTGGACAGCAGCCAAACCTTGAGCTTTTGCATCCAGCCTCAGTACACCCTTCTTTATTTGGTCCAGTAGCAGGTGTTTTACCATCTTGACAGCAGCCAAATTTTGAACTTTTGCATCCAGCCTCAGTACACCCTTCTTTATTTGGTCCAGTAGCAGGTGTTTTACCATCTGAACAGCACCCAAATCTTGAACTTTTGCATCCAGCCTCAGTACACCCTTCTTTATTTGGTCCAGTAGCAGGTGTTTTACCATTTTGACAGCAGCCAAATTTTGAACTTTTGCATCCAGTCTCAGTACACCCTTCTTTATTTGGTCCAGTAGCAAGTGTCTGACCATCTGGACAACATCCAAACGTCGTATCTTTGCATTCCGCTGGCTGTATGTTTTCACATCCTCTATTATCAAATCCTCCTGATGGAGTTTTGCCATCTGGGCAGCAACCAAATAGAGTAATGGAGCAATTATCATCAACTGGGAAAAAAAAAGAACAATAAAAAAATGTAGTTACTTTCTATTGACGATTGGTACAATTATATAGTAGAAGAGTTTAATAACATGGCATATTTTCTTATTGGCTTTTTCTAGTCTGCAGATACGTTATAAAACTGACTCTTTCGATCTGAGCAGCATTATTTTTTTTTTTGAAAGACTTATTTCAAGATTTCTTCGAATTAATTTGTAAAAGAAAAAAACGCTAATAGTTTTTTAGATTTGAAATAGCCCTGTCCCATCAACCCCAACACACGTATATTGTTTTATATAATATTGTTATATTGTTTATATTTAAAATGGAAATAACAGTCTTCATTTTTTTTAAAACAGTAAGTACTAGGTTGACCCATAAAATTTAAATATATTATAAAAGCCGGGTAGGACACACGCCTGCGGGTCTTAGTTTGGGTTTTATTGATCGAGTCACAATCTAGTGGATTGGATTTAAATCTGTTAAATATGGCGAATGTTCCCTTAACATTTTCTTGTTTTGCAAGGAGAATGAAAGTGTGAAAATAATTTTACCGATTAACCGACATATTGTTATTTAATTTAGAGATAAAAATAGGTATTTTTTGGATTCTTTTTTATGCCTGCCTGTTGTGGGAGGGACGTTAAAAAGTACGTTCTCCTCCATGATCTAAGAAACATTTGTGCCAATTGTTATTAACATTGGTCAAACCATTTTGATTTCTTTGCGGGACATACACACATACATACACACATACATACATACATAAATACATACTGTTACGTATTTCTGAATCTTCTGGCTAAATGTATTAGTAGGCACACAAATAAAAACACTGCAAAGAACTTGACGACTCAACTTTCAGTTTCATATAACTTTAATGACTATTAACTCTAACAATTCGTCACTGTAACATATAGCGTATACGTCTTACATCAACTGTATCGACTGTAACGGCTCAAGTCCACTCTCTTCTACTGTCTCGCACAGTAGACAACAGTAACGACGACTGTACTGACTCTTTTCACATTAACTCTCTGGTTTAAATAGAGTCCCTAATCGCTTGTCTAATATTGCAAAAACACTGCTAGTATCCTCTGGAACAACACAGAAGGAAACATCACATCCTGTCGATTCCAGAGAACGCCTGCTGCAGTGTCATCTCGACGAGGTCACACGTAGTGACCTCTAACTGTCACTGTTCATTTATAACACTACCCCCTTCGTAGATCTGTTCGTCCCAGGAATAACACATGAGGGCACGTCACATCCTGTCTTTGTTTAAACGCATAGATTCCAGAGAACACTCGGTGCTGTGTCATCTCGCCGGGGTCACACATAGTGACCTCTACCTGTCACTGTTCATTCGTAACAATACATACATACATACACACATACATACATACATACATACATACATACATTCATTCATACATACATACATACATATATACATACATACATACATGCTCCTTACATTCTACTTTCAATTATAGATACATACACAAGTTACTCTTCTAAATATAAAATTGAAATATGCACACTAGTATGCAAATACAGGCTAGCATTATACTTCAGATAGATTCAGGTGATTTTGGGTCTAATAGACTCAACGGAGCTTAAACAAATGTGTGGGGATCCCTGTGTCTCTTCTCCTTCAGATTAATGAGAACCTCCTCACTTTCCAAGCAATCAGCTAGCCTTTCGGCTCAGAAATCAATGGCGTAACTAATTGCTAAACTAATTATACAGGGCCATAACAAGATGTAACATCCCTATTGGGTGATTCAGCAGGAATTTTGGGTGGCAATTGTGACGCTCGCCCTCCCTTTACACATTCCATAATATAATTGAAACATTCATATAAAAGCTATTCTGTGAAGAGCAAGATGATATTAGCTGAATATTATAGATACACATTTACAGTTTGAGAAAAAAATACATGTAAATATTTTAAATTATTAACAAGAAAAATTGTATGCTAGAAAATGTGCAAGAGAACAGCACAAGCACACGTAGTAGAAGAGAAACTGTGCACCCACACGTAGTAGAAGAGAAAAGGTGCACCCACACGTAGTAGAAGAGAAAAGCTGCAAGCACACTAAGTAGAAGAGAAACTGTGCACTCACACGTAGTAGAAGAGAAAAGGTGCACCCACACGTAGTAGAAGAGAAAAAGTGCACTCACACGTAGAAGAAGAGAAAAAGTGCACGCACTATTACTAAGGAATCATTTATTCATGTATTGTTTCCGATAATGGATCAATGTCCACAGTTTTTACATAATCCAAGAATAGAAAGTGGGAGAACTATTGTGTACAAGATTTGTACCAGACAGAGTCAACTTATATAGCTTGATATAAGCTTTGTAATGAAAGAATCTAGCGCTAAATTATTTTTATTAAAGAGAAATATCTTATATAAACTCTGTTCAAAGCTAGACAAGGGCGAATAGCATAGACCAGACGCACACCACGGCGATACAACTACTTACCACGGAGAGATAGAGACCTAAGACTCAAAGATTGAATGGTCAATAGTGTGACTAAGGGAAGTAACAAAGTGTTAGGAAATAAATCCTATTTGGCAGAATACTGTTGATGAAATGTATTGTGCCAATAGGATGACAAAATAATAGATAAGTAAAACAGTAGTCTTGATGGTGCCCGTTGGTAAAGGTTTGTAAGCTATATAATAAATGGTAAACATTAATTTTAAAAAAAAGAGAACATTTTGATTTCTAAATTTAAAAAAACGATAACTAAGAAAAAGGTTTCAAACATCTCTAGAGGTACAAACTAAAAGGTAAACAGTGTGAACAAAGCAAAATTATAATCGCTGTTTAAGTCGAGTGCCTACAGTTGAGTGGCTCACTAAAAGAAATATTTCTGGCAGTAGCAATCTAAATTTATACATCTATATATAGATCTACATGGAAACGTCATGCGAAACAGCCTAATGTAATTCACCTTCTTTCATTAAAGTAAGCATGTAATGACCAGATTACAGCAAACTTTTGGGTACGTTCAGAAATCAAAGAAAGACAAATCTACAATTTACAATAAAATCCACAGACAAGATTTTGAAATGTTAATATTGATTTGCCCCCATAATGATCACCTTTTTTTTTAGATCCATTGATACCTTTTTAAAATATTTATCAACATGAACCAAATAGATACCCTAGAGGATATTCATATCACGTGATAAGCACGTTCCATAAATAGGTCCTATTGGTAATTAAAAAAACAAACTTTTGGAGGCTTACATATTGTTAACAACTTTTATAAAAAATTCAGGACAAGAAAAAAAAATTCGAAAGAAACATACCTGTCTGCCCTAAAGAGAATGGTAACCATATTGCTACTGCGTTTAGTACTAACAAACAAGTACAATACATCTCTGAAAGTAACAAAAAATATAAAAACAACACTAAAACTACGAAACAATTGTTAAATGAAAATAAATCATTGACATGAAACTAAAAGCCCGTAATTTGCTATTAAAATTCATTTCTCTTTTGTTTAACGCTTTTAAAAATCTCTGTTATCTACTACACCATATCTGAATATCTATTTATGTCAATTTTACAATACGAAGATGACCTACCTTGTTGTTGTAGCCTATACTGAAAATATTTCTATCTGTTATGAATTGTCATCATAAAAAAACAACACATTTTTCTTTAGTCCTAAAGATTCATTTAAAGCTAGGGCTCGATGATGAATAATTACCTGGCTTTCAAAAAGACTGCAGCCTCATACTAGCAACCAGTTGAGATTGTCCTAGGGCGTTCTATTTACACAACTGCTGCTCTACCGCATTTCTTTTTAGTTCGAGGTCTTATGAACTTAAATTATCAATGATGTAGGCCGACATTTGTAATAAGGAGAGAAAGGGAAAAAATAGAAAGAAGGACAATGAAAGTGAAGAGGACAGAAAGAAAGAGAAACAAAGAGAGAAGATGCTGAAAGAGAGAGAGAGAGAGAAAAAAAGATGGACATAGATGTAAAAATAGAAAGAAAAGAAATAGTGAAAAAAAAAAAGAGTTTAAGAGAAACCAAAAAAAAAGGAAAAAAAAGAAACAGTGGCAAAATACACAGACAGGGAAAGAGAGACACAGAGAGAGGTAGAGAGGAGAGAAAGACGGAAAAAAGAGACAGAGTGACAGAGATGGAGAGAAAGGAGAGACAGAAAAAGAGAGACGGAGAGAGAGAGAGAGAGCGTTAGAGGGCGTGAGTTAGGAGAGAAAGGTGTAAGTGGCTGAAGCAGTACATATAGAGATAATAGTAGTCTAGTATCGGGG